AGGTAAAAGAGCTGAACAGAAAATTGAAAAGGGAAGCTCAAGAAGACAAAGTCAAGTATTATAATTATATGTGCAAAAACCTGGAGCTAGAAAACCAAAAGGGAAGAAGATTCTTAATATTTCTCAGGCTGAAAGAACTGAGCAAAAAATTCAAGCCTCAGCTTGAAATATTGAAGGATTCATCCTGGTGTGACGCTGTGGGTTAATGCACCAGATTGCAAAGCTGTTTGAACTGCAAGGTAGGCGATTCAAGGTCACCAACTGCTCCTTGGAAATTCTATACAGCTATGGGTCGGAACCAACTCAACGGCACTTAACAAAACAACAACAACAATAGGCAAAATATTACATGCTTCAGAAAGCTTCAAAAGAAGATAGAAGAAATAGAGTCACTGTACCCAAAAGAAATGGTCAATGTTCAAACATTTCAAGAGGTAATATAAGATCAAGAACCAATGACACTGAAGGAAGAAGTCCAAGGTGCACTGAAGGCATTGGCAAAGAACAAGGATCCGGGAATTGATGGAATATGAATTACAATGTTTCAACAAACTGATGCAGCACTGGAGGCACTCACTTATCTATGCCAGGTAATTTGGAAGACAGCCACCTGGCCAACTGATTGGAAGAGATCCATATGTATGGCCATTTCAAAGAGAAGAGACACAATGGAATGTAGAAATCATTAAACAGTACCATTAATATCATCTGCAGGTAATATTTGCTAAAAATAATTTTTAAATTGCTGCAATCATTCATTGACAGGGAACTCTCAAAGGTTCAAGCTGGATTCTGATGAGAAAGAAGAATGAGGGATATTGCTGCTGGCGTTAAGATGGATCTCGGCTGAAAGCAGAGACTATCAGACAGTTACCTGTGCTTCACTGATATGAAAAATCTCAATTGTGTGGATCATGACAACCTATGGACAACACCGCAGAGAATGGGTACACTGGAACACTTAATTGTGCTCATAAGGAACCTATGTGTGTACCAAGAGGCAGTTGATCAAACACAACAAGGGAAAAGTGTGAATGTTTTTAAACCAGGTAAGGTGTGTGCCAGGGTTGTATTCTTGCACCGTAATTATTTATTCTGTATGCTGAGCAAATAATCTGAGAAGCTGGATTTTATGAGGAAGAACATGGCACCAGGACTGGAGGAAGACTAATTAATAACCTGTGATATGCAGATGATACAACCTTGCCTGCTGAAAGCAAAGAGGACATAAAATACTGATAAAGATCAAAGACCACAGAATTTGGTATAAGTTGCATCTCAATGCAAAGAAAACAAAATTCCTCATTATTGGACCAATAAACAACATCCATATAAATGGAGTAAAGATTTAAGTTGTAAAAGACTTCATTTTGCTAAAATCAACCACCAACACCCATGGAAGCAGCAATCAAGAAATCAAACAATGCACCCCCTCCACACACAGAGAGGACGGAGATGGGCAACTTGGTCACTGGATACTCAAATGGGGAGGGGAGGACTACAAAGGCAAGAAGTGACTGGCTTACAAGCTTTCAAGAGGGAACCTAGTGCTAGGGAGCATGGAGGAAGGCAGAATCTCCAGTGGGTACTATTCAATCTGTCTGGGCGGAGCTGATGAAAGGAAATACAGATGGGTAACTCGTGATACTGAAGTGAATAATGCTTAT